CCGCGGCGTGATGATCCCGTTGCGCTTGCGGGCGTCGCGCCACTCCTCCCGAGCTTCGCGATCGGCATCGCGAGCTCTCGTCTCGATCCTCCCGCCCCCCGCGCGCTGCGCTGCCCGCGCTGCCGATGCGGCCGCGGGGATCGGCGGGCCGCGACCCTCGCAATCCAGCACGGGCCAACTCGGACCTGGGGGAGAAAACTCTCAGGAGCAGCGGGCGCACGCGGCCGCCTCGAGGGCGCGCTCGCCACCCCTCTGGATCGCGCGGGGCCACCGGTGAGCTCGCGGGCGTACCCGATGGGGGCGGCAGCGGCTCGGCTGCGCGGCATCTCGGGCAATGGTCGTTGCAGCGCATCCCCAAGCAGGAGCATCTGCAGCATATTCAGCGCTGCGGCTGACCAAGTTGGACTTGGCTGTCCTTGCCCAGCTCGCTGCGTCGATGCTTGGATTCTCTTATCTTCGCGGGCAAGGCCTCCTCCCTGTCCGCGTGTGCCTTTGGCCCTCGCTGCCATAGCCTCCCGCGCAGCTGCATGTTCCTTGCCGAGCTTCTTATTCGATTCGAGCAGACCGGCCATTTGATGAGCTGCCGGGCTTAGTCTGCGTCCGCTTCGGCCCTATCATCTGCCGCCGCGCGGCGCCTGAAGAAGAGTTCACCAGCTACTTCCCGCCTCTGATCTGCCTTTGTGAATCCCGTTGGCATTGCTGCTTGACCACCTTCCACGCGGAGACTCACTTTCGAGCTGCATCCCGAACGCCTCCTGGTGTTGCTGCATCTTCTGGGTTCCCTGACGACGAACTGCTTCGACGTGCCCCCCTTCCACCCATTGCGGTACTTTTCTGAGTCGCGTCCAGCTGGTGTCGTGGAGCCGCCGCGCGTTGATCGGGCATTTCAAGTGCAATCTGGGCTTCTTTTTCCACTGGGCTAACTCGCGAGGTGCTTGTTGAGTCTGGGGGGCACGCTGCATTCCCATTTGACCTGCATAGTTGTATATCTCTGTCTTGACTTGCACCCCCCCCCCTTGACTGGCGCAAGACATTTGGCACGCCCCAGCATTGCAGCCTGAGCAACCGTAGCTGGTACTGCCGCGGGCGACTCGACCTTCGGCGCAGGCGCCAAGCAGGTTCGATCCAACGGTTGAAAGGGGCACTCGGAATGGCATGTCCTGAAACTGCCGCCGTGGAAATTACCCCTCTTCGAATTTTGCGGACCTCATCGCCGTCCTTTTGAGGTGATTCTTGGCAATGGATGTGCTTGCCAGCGGCGATCGGCACATAGCTTCTCTCCTTCGCCGAGTCGCGCGTGCGGTGCGGACTTGGACTGCAACGGGCAGTGTTCGCCTCCGCCGCAAAAGACGATTAATGAGCAACACCCACGCATGCGTTCACAAGTTCATAGAATACCTAACCGATCAAGGCCAGTTGTGGGCGAAACATCCTGCTCATGGGTCTCGGCGGCCTCGTTCAATAGATCGTGGTCGTAGTCGGGCATACTCTTCCCCTAGCTAGATGCTGTCTATATCAAGTTCCGAGTGTTTCTTACCGATAGATGTGAGGAGATCGAGCGCGCGGTTGACGCCAGCTTGAGCTGCACGACGCTGAATTGCCAAAGGTTTCGATTGCCACAACGTCAGCTTGAGTACCGACAGTTCGTGTTCCTGACGGGTCAGCTTTGAACCCGATCTTTGACCTTGGAGTGAGAGGTTCGCCTGCGAGTCGATACGATCCTCGGCCATCTTCTTATGTGAGCGCATGTGTGATGGAACCTGAGGCGCAGCCACGTAGCTAGAATGTCTGAGTGCGTAGTCCAGCGTGCACATCATACGTTCGTCAGCACTATGTTTCTTGTCCGAGGTATTCTGGCCAGCCTTCTACGGCTGCATTATCTGACCTGCTATATTCTTCTGGCTCTTATGATAGGGCGGCTTTCACCCGAACCATTGCAAGACCAATCATTGCCACGATTCTCAGTAGTGCAACGACTACAGACCCATCTTCCAGGGATAATATGCTTCTGTGGCTGCTGGTACATTTGCGGCTGCTGCCTGCCTTCCATCGTCTCGACAACGGGGGCCTGCTTGAACCTGCTGCGCTGCTCCTTCAGAAGGCGCTGCGCCTGGATGTCTCGAAGAACCGCTCGGCCTGATGCTCTCTCACGACGCGCACGTCGATGCCAAGCTGGCTCTGGCCGCTTGGCCGCGGGCACCTGTCAGCCGCGGGCGCCCGCCAGGAGGGTCCGCCGCCGCTGGGGGGGATGTGGCGGGGTCCTCCCCCCCCGCACGGCCCCTATGGGTGGCGCCGCGCTGCCGCCGCCCGCCGTGGGGCCCGCCGAGCGCGCGGCCGTTGAACCCCGAGCGGGCAGACGGCTCAGTCCTCCTCCTCCTCCTCCTCCTCCTCCTCCTCCTGCTCCTCCTCATCCTCCTCCTCCTCCCCCTCCTCCTCTTCTTCCTACCCCTCCTACTCCTCCTCCTCCTCCTCCTTCTCCTCCTCCTCCTCCTCCTCCTAGCCTCCTCTGTCCTGCCCCACTGTGAGGCACGCTGGCCACACACGCACGAGTCCAGCACGCCGCCGCCTCTGCACTGGGTCTGCGGGCTGTCCAGACAGATTCGGCCAGCCACGCCCTGGAAGGACACAAGCGCCCAGAACCCCAACGTGCGCATTCAACAATCAAGGCGGAGGTGTTTCACTGCTTCCGGCCTCCGCGGGCCTTCGCGGGGCCTCTGGGTTTCCAAAAAACCATGCGGGACGACAAACCGGTCCCGGGGAAGTGGTCTGGACTTCCGGGGGGCCATTTTGGAAACATCAAGCCATCGGATCTCGGGGAAGGGGGGCTGGTAAAAGGGGGAGGCACGAAAGCTTCTGCTTGGAGCCGGTTTCCCCCCCCCCCCGCCGCCAGGCACCCTCCCCAGATGCTGGCGCTTCCAGGCGCAGACCAGCTGCACGAAGCCGATTCGCTCATTACCCCTCCCCGCCCCTTTGCTGCCCCCCTCTCGTCCATCCAGAGCGCGACCGCCTGCGCCGCGGGCGAGTCTGGCCACAGCGTGCTTCCCGCTGCCCTGGCTCGCTTTCTGCAGTGCGGTGGGGGCGTTGCTTGAGGAATGTGCCCAGGAGGCTTCCGACTCTGGAGGATTCCTTACCTGCTGAGGGCGGTGCTGAGATCCATGGCTAATTCACGACTGGAGTTCCGTCGGCTTCCATGCTCTGGATTATGTATCCTTCTGGCTCCTCGTCCAATGCCCTCGCCGTACAGTGGAAACCCATGCCAAGAAACACCCTGCTTGCCTTCAGGATGTCCTGGGTTCCTTGGGTGTTGATGGTCTTGCTGTGGAAGGCGTAACACTCCCGCATTAAAAATCGATGGACGTCCTGGGGTCTCAAGGTTGGGTTTCTTGTGGAAGGTCTCTCGTGGTCGGGCCTCTGCTGTAAGAAACTGGGTTGCCAGTAGGTCTCCCACAGCAGTGTTTTGTCCCTCGATGCCCCTCTGTGGGGGCTCACAGGAGCCCCGGGGCACCTCCTAGGATGCTCAAAGCTCCAGGGCGAACCCAGACGTCCAGCACCATTTCTCAGGAGTTGAAAAAAAACACACACACACATGCACACACATACACACATACACACATATACACACACGCACACACGCACACACGCACGCACGCACGCACGCACACACACACACACCTCGCCACGCCACGCCACACCACACCACACCACACCACAACACAACACAAGACAACACAACACAACACAATACAACACAACATACCACAACACACAAAACACAACACACAACACAACACGCAACACACAACACACAACACACACCACATACACAGACACAATTCATCGTCGATTCCCAGGGGAATATGGGAAGCGATTGGAAGTGGAGGGGACGACGACAACCCAGAACCTATAGCACGATATGGGGAATCCTGGGCTTTGTGTGCATTTCTGCGTGTTTGTGTGTGTGTGTGGGTCCTTTGGCCTCTTTAGTTTCTCATGGGACCAGCTTTTCATTCCGAGTCGTTTTTCGATAGTCCCGCGGCCGAGATAGGGCCCCGAGAGGCCGAGATATATGCAGAGCCTCCGTCTCGATGAGTTCTCGAGGACGCCAGGCATCGAGGACGACGCTCCACGACAAGCGTGCACCCACCGTCCCTGTGGAAAGATCCCTTGTCGCAGGTCCCACTTTCTGTGCACCTCCCTCCCCCCTCCTCCCTCCTCCACGATCACACAGTATACATACTATTCTCCTCTCTCCCCTGGTGGCGTCTGGGCAATATGCTGCCCCCCTCCGCGTATGTTTTTTTACACTCAGGACACCCGGGAAACGGGTGTTCGCTGCTTTTATCTCAAAATTCTGCTCTCGCTTGAGCGCTGGCTTCATTTTCGGGCTCCCGGTCGTTCCGAATCGTGCTCCAGCTGCACGCTGGCCTCATTTCCGCGCTTCCGCTCGTTCCGAATCGTGCTCCCGCTGCAGCGTGGCGTCATTATTTCCAGCGCCATGCCACGGCATGGCTTTCGGTTCGTCCACATAGGCTCCAAAATCTAGAACATGCCCCCCCGAACAAAAACACATCGGAAGTTTTTACACATTCGGTGTCGTTTCGTTGGTTTTGGGGGCCGCAGAAGCCCCCCCATTTTGGGGCCTTCGCCACGCCATGCTATGTCATGCTACGTGCTGATCCGCAACATTGTGCTATGCCATCCATGTAATGTTATTCCATGTGATGCTATGCCATGCTACGTTGTCCAGAGAGAGGATATCTACGCCATGGGAAGGGATGGGAGGGAGGGGTAGGACGTCAGATATGACGCGAGCGCACCTCCTCCTCCTCCTCCTCCTCCTCCTCCTCCTCCTCCTCCCGCCCTCCTCCTCCCTCCTCCTCCCTCCTCCTCCTCCTCCCTCCTCCTCCTCCCTCCTCCCTCCTCCTCCTCCTCCTCCCTCCTCCTCCTCCTCCTCCTCCTCCTCCCTCCTCCTCCCCCTCCTCCCCCCCTCCCGGGCCGAGGTGTCCGCCGCCCGCCCCCCGCGCTCGCCGGCGCCCGCCGCGCGGAAGCCGCAGCCGTGGTGCGAGGCGGACCCGTCGCGCGGCTTCGTCCGGAGACCGCGCGGCGCCCATCCGCGCAGCGCCCGGCGGCTCCGACGGGCAGGGGCCAGGGAGTCGACTAATGACGAGGTCGAGGAGGAGGAGGAGGAGGAGGAGGAGGAGGAGGAGGAGGAGGAGGAGGAGGAGGAGGAGGAGGGGAGGAGGAGGAGGAGGGAGGAGGAGGGAGGAGGAGGAGGAGGAGGAGGCAGGAGGAGGAGTCGACTAATGGAGGATGACGATTAGTAAATGACCGGAGGTCGTGTTCACGCGGCGGCGCCCGGAATGACGATTAGAAGAAACCGGCCGCGGGCTGGAACACTTTTTTTGTATCGTTCTCCTCGAGTCAGAAAATCATGCAGAAATAACAGACAACTATTTGTTTAATCGTTCTCTCCCATTTTTTATTAATCGTCATCCCGCATTACACGCAAGAGTGACCTTTCGCCGGAGTGACCTTTGGTGCGCGCCCACTTGGGCCCCCCGATCGCCGGGTGCAGTGCGATAGTAGCATCTTGCGCGCTTTTGTCGGCCCCCCCCCCCCGCGACCCCCACAAAGCCGCGCACCGAAGGTCACCCTTAACCAGGGTCACTCTTACGTGCAGCCGAGGGGAAGGCTCGGCCAGGCGAAGCTCGGCCGGGCTGCACTCGGCCAGCTCTGTCTCCAACCAGAGGCGTTTTGAAAGCACGTCCTACGTGCAAGCCACGAGAGGTTCTCGCAGCCATCCCGCACAGTGAGTGTGGGTAGCCTTCCCAAGGACACCCCTGCATCAATGCCTCCTCGGTCCATCCTTGGCCACTTTCGCTGGCCCGCGCCCCGCTCGAAAAGCTTCGACATGGGCGTCCAAGGCCCTTGGCGGAAACTGGAACATATACACTACCAGTGGCGGGCTGTTTTTCAGACCCAGAACTTTTTGAGGGTCGGGGACGACGTCGGAGTGGTGTGGTGTATACTATTTTCCCCGATTTCCCGTGGAAGCAACGAAAAATGTACACGCCAGGATCCCGTATTCACCAGGATCCGCCTTCTTGTGCGAATTGCAGTGTGGGGCCGTAGAAAACGTCGGTGTATAGAGTCCGGTCCCTTATCCTGCATCCTGATCGCGCATCCTTATGATACGGGCCAGCTGCGCAGCATTCCAGAGGCGAGTCAGGGGGCGCTTCGCTCCTGCCTGAGCTTCGGGCTTCTCTAGAGCTCTCGCCGGCTGAGCTCTGCGCAGCCCTGGGGAGGCCGCCGAGCTCGGCCAGGCCGAGCTTGGCCTGGGCTGAATTTCGGGCCGGGCGAAAGGGGGGGGATAGCAAAGGGGGGTTTGAGAATCATAGCCGATTTTCCCGGCGCTTCCCGGCGCCGGGAGGCGCCCATGCATCGAGGAATGGGCCCTGCGGCGGGGCCGAAACCAGCTGCATGCAGCAGATTTCGTACCCCCCCGTTTCCAAATCCCCCCCGAAATTTCGTCCGGCCGGAGAATTCAGCTCGGCCGAGTTCGGCCTGGCCGGGATCAGCTCACCAACACCTTCGTTTCTCCCGCCTCACCTCACTCAGACGCACACGCTCGACGCTGATGCAGATGCAGATGCTGATGCTGATGCTGTTGCTGATGACGAGGATGAGGATGAGGATGAGGATGATGACGAGGATGGTGATGAGCATGAGGATGAGGATGACGATGACGATGACGATGAGGATGCTGATGATGATGATGATGATGATGATGATGATGATGATTGAGACAAAGATGATGATGATGCTGCTGATGATGATGATGCTGATGATGATGATGATGATGATGGGGATGAGGATGAGGATGAGGATGAGGATGGTGATGATGGTGATGATGATGATGATGATGCTGATGATGATGATGGTGATGGTGATGGTGATGGTGATGGTGATAATGGTGGTTATGCTGCTGATGATGATGATGATGAGATGATGACGCCGGTGATGATGATGATGATGATGATGATGATGATGATGATGATGATGATGATGATGATGATGATGAGGAGGAGGATGAGGATGAGGATGACGATGGGGATGAGGATGATGGAGTAGTTGTTGAGGATATCTCGGGCGAGGCGCTGTTTTCAGCACCCCTAGGGGGGCCGCCAGGGGTTATAGCACAGGCTTGTTCGCGCCCGCATTGCGGGGACGTTTCGAGCGGTTTGCTTTATTTTACCGCCCCAACATCCTTCGCTTTCGGGGCAGATTTTGAACTCGGGCGAGGCGCTGGCGCGCAGGTTTTCGCACCCGAAGGAGGCCCAATTTTTGAGGATGCCTCTGTCGGTTTGCCTGTTTGGGTGGCCATGCTCGCTTGCGTTCAGAGCAGATTCTGAGGATGTCTCGGGCGAGGCGCTGGCTTCAGCACACCCAATGGGGATCCGCCAATAGGGGTTTTCATTCCTTCGTTTTTTTACCGCTTGTTTCACCGCCCCAACATCCTCCGCTTTCAGAGCAGATGTTGAGGATGTTTCGGGCGAGGCGCTGGCTTTCGCATCCCAGGGAGGGGAGGGGGGGGCAGATTGCGAGGACGTTTCGAACAGTTTGCCTTGCCAGGCGCGTCTGCGTTCGGGTCGAATCCTTCGTGTTTTACGTATGTCCCTATTTATTGCACCCCCCCCTCTGTGGCTCCAGTCCGATGTGTTTTACGTTCCTATAGAGTTGGCCGCCTCTCCTCTCCATGGCGTGGCTGGCTGCATCACGGTCGAGCCACTGCGTGAGATCTTCTGGGCTAGCCAACGGAGCGCAAGGGTTTCGCACGGCGTTTGCACGAGCACCCCTCTTTATTGCTCTATCATGGAGGGAGCGATCGCTTAGCCACTTCGACTCAGGCACGCTCAGTCATGGCGAAGCCACTGGCGTGCAGACACACGCACTGTAAGCCTGGACGTGCCCAGATTAATGCGCATAGACTCACTCGTCCTACTGAGACTACTCACACTGCAAATCATTCGCAGTTACATTCGCTCCCTGTCTGTCAATGCTCAAACCCGCTTATATTCGAAAGCTCTTGTGCCTAGACAGTCACGGCGGACAAGGTCCATGCACATAGATGCATGGGGAGCTCCGCAAAATGAATACATCAATAAAGCCTGGTCGAGCTTTGGTGCTGCCTTCGGGGTCTCCCGACGTCGACGTCGACATCGACGTCGGCGACCCGTCGACGTCGACGTCGACGACGCCCATTTAAACAATCATGACGGAGGTTTTGCGCCGTTTTCGGTCTCTGGCGGCTTTCGCTGCGACCGTCAAGAAACGGCTCGGGATGAGACGCCGGGCGTGGGGAAGGTGTCTGGACTTCTGGGGAGTACTGCGAAAAACATGGTCTCGGATCTTTGGGGCGGGCGTTTTTGCCTGGATTCGGCCCCCGGGGTCCTCGTTCTTCGATCTGGCTCGAGAGATGCCGCAGGAAGGCGGGGTCTGGTTATGGTCCCAGTCGTGGTTCCTCGCGGTGTTGCAGTCTTTCGGCGCATAGGATCTCAGGGTCCCACGGCGACGACGCCGACGTCGACGACGACGATCCAGAACGGGGTCGGGGCAGATGGGGTGGGCGATGCACATGAGCGATGCGTCGGCGCCGCGGCGCTGTCCTCCGACACGACCTGCTCGACCCCGAGTGGGAGGCCCCTGGACGACGTCGACGACGACGGCAGGCGGCGACGGCGAGGGCGGCGACGGCGGGCGCCAGCAGCTGGGGGAGGAGGGGGAGGGGGAGGGGGAGGAGGAGGAGGAGGAGGAGGAGGAGGAGGAGGAGGAGGAGGAGGAGGAGGAGGAGCAGAATGAGGAGGAGGAGCAGGAGGAGGAGCGAGGAGGAGGAAGGAGGAGGAGGAGGAGGAGGAGGAGGAGGAGGAGGAGGAGGAGGAGGAGGAGGAGGAGGAGGAGGAGGAGGAGGAGGAGGAGGAGGAGGGAGGAGGAGGAGGAGGAGAGAGGAGGAGGAGGAGGAGCAGGAGGAGGAGCAGGAGGAGGAGCAGGAGGAGGAGGAGGAGGAGGAGGAGGAGGAGGAGGAGGGGGAGGAGGGGGAGGGGGAGGGGAGGGGGGAGGAGGAGGAGGAGGAGGAGGAGGAGGAGGAGGAGGAGGAGGAGGAGGAGGAGGAGGAGGAGGAGGGAGGAGCGAGAGGAGGAGGAGGAGGAGGAGGAGGAGGAGGAGGAGGAGGAGGAGGAGGAGGAGGAGGAGCGAGGAGCAACCCTAGCACAGCAGCTCCTTGGCCGTGCCGCGCTCGGGGCCCTGGCCTCGTGCTCAGCGCCGAGGTCCTGCTCGGCCTCGGTGGGCCTGCGGTGCGGCCGCGGCGGCGACGACCCGCTGCCCTCCGACGGGCTCCTTGGGCAAGTCAGCGACGGCGGCGGCGGCATCGAGAAGCCCGGATTTTCAATGATATGATGCCCCAGTAAGCAGCGTGACGCTGGAGGGCCCCAATTTCGGGGAAACGTAAGGCTCGAGTAAGCCGGAATTCGGGTGCGCCTGAGTTTTTTGACGAGCGCGACGTGGATTTTGACGGTCCAGTTTTCGTGGGATGTTTGCAGCGGGAGCCCGCGTCAGATTTCAGGTTGGGTCTCGTCATTTTCATGATGGCCCCCGTCAGACCAACCCGAGTCCCCCGTACCCGAGTCTTCCGTCTCCCCGACAATACTAGGTTCAAAACAGGACCGCAGAAGAGTTCCACAGGGGGGAAGGGGCGCCCGTGCCAGCGCGGTAGTGGCAGCCGTTTCGCATGAGACGTCGTCACAATCTATTCCGAAATCGCGTTCTCTCCCCAATGCCGACTACACTATTGAGGGCCTGTCGCCGCCGTCGATGGTTTCACCGTCGTCGTCGTCGTCGTCGTCGTCATCGTCGTCATCATCGTCGTTGTCGTCATTGTCGTCGTCGTCGTCGCCATTGTCGTCGTCGTCCTCGATGTCTTCCGCGCCGTTAGCTCCATCGGCGTCGTCATCGCCGGTGGCCCCGGTGGCGTCGTCGTCGCCGCCGCCGTCGCCGTCGGCTTCGTTGTCGTTGCCGACGGCGTCTTCGCCGACGCCGCCGCTGGCTATGGCCACCGCGGCCGTCATTGCAGGATCCATCCCAATCCGATTGATCCAATTCGATGGGCCCGAGCCGATTCGATCCCGATGCTCCAACGATCCCACGCGGCCCGATGATTGACACACCGCGATGCCGTGCAGCCTCGCGCGGCCCAGCCGCCGCGCTCCCCACACCGTGCCGAGGTGGCCCGATCCGACGCACGTTCCGATCCGACATCCGTCAGAGGCCCAGAGGTTGACAGCAACACCAATGTCGGCGGTGTGCCTCCACCGAGGGCGGATGATCCTGGTTTCGGTGATGGTGGTAATGTTCGTGCTACCTGTATGGCCGGAATACTACCACCAACGCCAGAATCTAGGAGCATCTTCCCCTGGCGGAGGCAGCCCCCCGTTTTGGTCTTGGTGCCCATGTTCAGGCCTCCAAATCCGACTTATTTCAGGCTTCTGATGTTCCAACTTTAGCCCTGATCACCAGAAAGAGTTCCGAGCACCAGGAAAGCACCGAACCTGCAGGGTTTTCACGTGTCGGGCCCTGGGAGGCGATACTCGTTCGACCCTGTTTCGACACTTTCCTGGGCGCTCGAAATCATTTCCGGGATGCTGTGGTCCTTCCTGAAGTACGAGGGGAGCAACCTGATTTCGGGCCTCCGAACCCGACTTCCCGACCCGCTGCGGCTTGACTCTGCCCCTCTCCGCCGCGCGCCGCGGGCGCCTCCTCGCAGGAGCGCCGAGCAGCCCCTGCGGCCCCCCGCGCCGCTGGGCCTCTCCACGCTGCGGGGGCCGGGCCGAGGCGGGCGCGGCCCTCGCCGTGGCGGCGCGGAGCGGGCGGGTCTGGGTGCTCGCGACTTGCGGCCCCTCTGGGGGGCCCTTCTCTGCGGGGCCTCGGGGCCGTCAGCAGAGACGACCCCTCGGGATTGGAAAAAGCCCGTCCAGGGGAGCACGGGCCGAAGCCTTTTGGGGGTCGACGTCCCGAAGAAGTCACGACGTCGGGTTGTCTGGGTTTGGAGGCCCGCGTCGGGCTCCCGGGGCTCTGCCCCGGCCCCCCCCCGGGGGCCGCGCCCGCGTCACGGGCAGGTCTTGGCGTCGACGTCTGGGCATGCGGAGGCGGGGCCAGGCATTGTGATGTTCCGACCTGCTGTAGCCTTGACCGCCAGGAAGAATTGCGAGCCCCAGAAGAGTACCCCAAAACTCGGGGGTTTTCACGTGTCGGGCCCTGGGAGACGCTCGTCTGACACTGTTTCGACATTATTTCGACTCTCTTTCGACACTTTTCCGGGTGCTCGAAATTATTTCTGGGATGTGGTCCCTAAGTACGATGGGAGCAACGTAAGACCAGGAGAAGGACTAAGGAGAAGGAGAAGGACGAGCCAGGTGCGCTCGCGCCTCATCTGACGTCCTACCCCTCCTTCCCATCCCTTCCCGTGGCGCTGGGTGTTCTCTATATCCGCGGACGCGTGTCATAGCCGACCTGCGAATCTCACAGAAAGACCACTTCGTGTTATGCGCGATCGGAGAAAGGGGAGCTGCGTGCACAGGGGGAGGAGGAGGAGGAGGAGGAGGAGGAGGAGGAGGAGGAGGAGGAGGAGGTGACGGGTTAGCAGGAGTATGAGCGGGAGGAAAGGATGAGGACGAACAGCGGCAGCAGTAATTACAGCAGAAGGATCGGGAGGGAAAGGAAGACCAGGGGAAGACGGAGGAGGGAAAGGGGGGTGACAACGATTGAGAAAGATTCGGCTTCAGGAAGGTGGCCCGCGCTGGGGCGAGACGAACACCAGCAGCAAGAACTGGAGTGGAGGGAGCGGGGGGAACAGGATGACCAGGGAAAGGCCGAGGAGGGGAAATGAGGGGGGACCACAACGACGCAAGACTCGGAACCAGACAAGTGGCCCGTGCTGGGGCGAAGGATCATTTTTGAAAAACCAGAAAGAATTGTAAACAAGCATTGGACAAATCAATGTTTGAAATATTGTGCGCACAACAACGGCATTCGGAGGGGGACAGGAGAGCTTCTGGATAATTTTAGGGGGTGAGGGGGGCTCGTATTTATATTTGCTTAGTTCTGGAGGGAGGAGAGGGGAGGAGGAGGAGGAGGGAGGGGGAGGAGGAGGAGGGAGGAGGAGGAGGAGGAGGAGGAGGGGGAGGAGGAGGAGGGAGGAGGAGGAGGAGGAGGAGGAGGAGGAGGAGGAGGAGGGGGAGGAGGAGGAGGAGGAGGAGGAGGAGGAGGAGGAGGAGGAGGAGGAGGAGGAGCGCTCCACTGAAGTCGTGGGGAGGATGACCGGAGGCACTCTTGCGAACTCCTTGTTCTGCAGCATGCGTTCAGGAAGTTTGGCTTAGCGTGTCACTCCGCGCCGATATTGGCCCACCAGGTCTCGTCGTGACACACTAAGTATTTCCAATACTGAAGCGTCAACGGCCCGAGCCTTTCCCAGCCTCCCGCCCCGCGGAGAGGGGCGACACGCTATGAGCTCCCACGGCATACCGTGTCGCCAGAGCAGCCGCCGCAACACGTCAAGCACGAGCTCCCGACCGTACGTAGATTTGTGTATTCATGTGTTCAAATACATAGATATGTATACACACCTACATACGCATAGGCAAAGACACACACACACATCTCCATATCAATCACACCAACAAACACATTTACATGTACATATACAGGTACGTATAATTATGCATGGGCACATCCATATACATTTACCTACACATATACGTATACCGTACCATACCAAATATGTGTATATGCATAATAACAGCACGTATGTATAAACACACTCGTACATACACGTATATGCATATAGATGTTAACGCTCCCTCGCAGGACGACGCAGGACGAGGAGGTGGATCGAGGATCGAGGGCACTTGGGAGTTCCTGCCTTCACACCCGGAGAACAGGGGAGGAGCGGCCAAAAGGTGCCAGCTCCACAGCGCAAGTCAGCAGGAGCCTCGGACAGGCAGCGTAGCCCCTTTCTTTTTCCCAGCTTGCGCCACGAGGCGCGAGGCGCGCCAGAGGACCACGCACAGAAGGATCTCTGGAGCCTCCGGGCCGTCGGGAATTCGATAGGGGGTCCCTGCTCCAAGAGTTAAGTCGGGCGTGTCCCTCTACAGGGGGGAGATCCAACAATAGTCAAAAGATAGTCTTGGGACAATTTCTCTATTATTTTGAGTATGTTAACAACATATGTTCTATGTTTCGCCCCAAATCCCCCTGTAGGGGGGCAGGCCCGACTTAATCCAAGATGTTGATCGGCGGCGCGCCCGGGGGGTGGGGGGGGAAGCAGAGCGGCCGGGAGTTCTCAGAAGGCTCAGCAGGGCTCTCCGGCCCTCTCAGGAGCTCCCCATGCTCCCTCCGACGCCGCAGAGGGCTCCTCAGAAGGCATGAGGGCTTCTGAGAGGCCCTGCCGACCTCCTGTCGAACGCCTACCCCCTCGCAGTTCCCCCCAGGGGCACGCCGCCGATTCGCTTGCGAATCGCGGTGAGTGTGGCGTCCTGACAGTCAAAGACCGTGCCATGACGCTTTCCGCGGGACTTCAACAAAAAACCGCGGCTCGACGTGACTGCGTCCTGACATCCCAGAAACGGTGCCAGCAAACCATTTCTGGGATTGTGGCCTACGGACTCACTTGAGCGGTTGGAAGCTTTGAAAAGAATGTGCGCGGCGCGAATGCGAGATGCACATTTTGAAAGCGACCCGCCTTCCATCCGTGAAGCGGCTGCAGACAAACGGATGCGCGCGTCGCTGAGGCTAGAGCCACATTTTGAAAAGGAGCCGCCCTCCATCCTTGAAGCATGTTCAAACTTGCGAGGGTAATGGGCGGCGCTAGGGCGAGAGCAGCATTTTGAAAGCCACGCACCCTCCATCATTGAAGCTGCTGCAAATTGCAAGCTTCAGTCGCATGGCTGGCGAGGAAGTCGCAGGCGAAACGCCCAGCCCGCCCTGCCGACACGCCCGGGGTGCGACACGGAGGAGTTTTTCCCCAACCACGGTTTGCACTTAGGGGTTCCTACTTGGCTTCGTTGAGCTTCTCGGTTGGTCTTCTGGGTTGCCGCCTCGTGGCCGCCTCGTGGCCGCCTCGTGGGCGCCCCGCGCTCGGGGTGTCTGCCGAGGTTGCGCCACGTTGCCGCTCGTGCCGCCTCGTGGGCGCCCCGTGGTTGCCCCACGCCTGGGGGCTGTGCACCGAGCCTGCACCGCCCATGCCGCCCCGTGGGCGCCCCGTGGGCGCTCTCCGCGCTTCGGGGTGCATGCCGAGACGGCGCCAAGGCGCCGCCCGTGCCGCCGCGTGGGTTCACCGCGCCTGGGGGGGGGGGGCAGCGCCGAGGTTGCGCCACGATGCCGCCCGTGCCGCCTCGTGGGCGCCCCGAGGGCGGCCCGCGCTCGAGGAGCATGCCGAGGTTGCGCCGCGATGCCGCCTCGTGGCCGCCTCGTGGGCTCCCCCTATGATCCAGGTGGGCACCCCGAGGTTGCGCGACGTTGCCGCTCGTGCCTCCTTGTCGCCCCGTGTTCTGGGCGAACGCGACACAGCTTGCACCGCCTAGCTTGCACCACATATCTCACACTACATAGCTCGCACGACATAGCTAGCATCGCACAGCTTCCACCCCATGGCACATTCAGTTCGCACCGCATAGCTTACACGGCATAGCTGACAACGCATAGCTAACATCGCAGAGTGTTCACTTCCAGAGCTGGCACCACGTGGCTCACACCACATAACGTTCACCGCATAGGTTCCGCCTCCGCAGTGCAATAATGCACTGTTTGGGGCCCACGCTGGCTAAAATTTGGAAGAGAAAGGAATGGAGGGGAGAAGATGTTGGAAGAGAATGAGGGCGGAGGAAGAGTGAACGGGAGAGGGGGAAGGGGGCGAGGAGGAGGAGGAGAGGGAGGGAGGGGGAGGAGGAAGCCGACGACGAGGACGAGAGGAGGAGGAGGAGGAGGAGGAGGAGGAGGAGGAGGAGGAGGAGGAGGAGGAAGAAGAGGAGGAGGAGGAGAGGAGGATGAGGAGGAGGAGGAGGCGGAGGAGGAGGAGGAGTTCGAGGATGACGGAGGAGGCGCAGGGCCGCCGTTGTTTCAGACGGCCGTCCTCCCGATGCCCAGGCGGCGGCATCCCGATGCCGCGCCCGCCCGAGAATCACCGCTCCGACGGGGAGGCGGCGGCGCGCGCGTGCACCTGCCCCGTGGGTTGCTTTCATAACGAACGCCAGGAGCTCACATCAATCACATCGTCATGTCATGGGAATACCACGCAACAGCAACATACACCAAGAATATGCCAATTCGAAACACGAGCGTACATAAAGGACATGCGTACAGACACACTCGCGCGCAGGCGTACCACGTATGCCCCATGGACGCAAGCAACACTTGACACAACATGCGTCCACATCAGGCATCTGCGTTGCGTAATTCGTGCAGCGACCGCACATGGTCATTGGTGAAGCACACAGTCGCATGTTATCTGTGACATCGGGGAGTCAGCAAGTGCCCCACGGAAGTTTCTAACCCCCCGATGGCCCCAGGGACTCACATCAGTTCGGGGGCTTCTTAGGTTCCTCAAAGGTCGAGGAAGAATCTATCCCAACATTTCCGGTATCAAGATTTCTGCTCGTATGTGCTTGCTCTATCACGCTTCGACGTCGCACGCCACAGACCTCGAAGCCATTCGCATCGGCTTCCTGGTGGTGACCGCCATGAGCAACACACGATCCCATGACGGCGAGGCGAGTGGCCAGCAGTGCAGCTCCGCTGCCAGGCCGCGGCTTAGGGCCGCGTCCTCTCGCGCCCCAAGAGCACCTGCCGGCAGCGCCCCCATTCCCGCCGACTGCCACCGAGCGCACTCCCACTACTCGCAGAGTGCCTCCTCACAGACGTCCGGAAAAGCCCGTGTCCCCCTTTGTGTAATGTATCGTGAACCCCCCGCGGCGGCGCACGGGCCACGGCTCCGTGGAGCGCGGCGGCGGGAGAGCAGCTCTCGGGCCACCGCCACGAGGGGCGTGTCCCACGGAGGAGGGCCGCGGGCACGCAGGGCCATCGACACGGACTGCCAGAGGTCCGCGCGGATCTCTCGGCTCTGCATGGGGGCCGCCCGGGCGGCGCCTTTCGGCGCGCCCCTGGGGCCCAGCGCAGGCCACGGGAGGAAAAGGTGCCCACCCTGGCATGGCTCTACTCTCGGGAGTTGGCCAGAGAACAGAGTACCTCAAACACTTAGCACGTCCTCCCGTAGATGGACAACAAAAGTGCACTCCTTGACTCCGCCGCCCCTCATTCCCTCCAGATTGAAAGTTGGTCCGAGGCATTCGGCAGCACAGGCGTGAGAGGACAACAAAAAGTTGACCCCCCCAGAGCCTGCGCGAAGCCGAACCCAGTTTTGGATCTGGAGGGGGGGGGCTAAACACCTGGTCGAACACGAAAGGTTTTTCATGTTTTGTCCATTCAACGCCCCTCGAGAGTTGCCAAGTGGTGCCAACCCCAAGCTTTCAGGAATCAGCCTCCCGGTCCGATCAACTTTCTCGAATGGTGAGGCGCACAAATTTCAGCCATCGCGTGTGGCGCGCTGGACAAATTCTACTGACCTATTCTCTCCGGAAAGAGTAGCACCAATATAACTCACGTTCGAAATAATGACCTGAGAGTTGATTAGGAGGGTTAGCCGCTGACAGTCGAGCCACGTTATCCGAGTTTCGCATGGGCCAGAGCGGCAAGAGACGAGCAGCAAGGGGACAGGCTTTGCGTGCCACTTCCACACGCTCGTCGAGAAAGCTCAGCTCTACAACGGACGGCGGACGGTGGCTCCACGCCCCCCTCTGAGCAGCTGCGTCTGCCTGTCCACCACATGCTCTGGAAGACGAGATTGCCTGGAGACTCAAAGCTGCCGTTGCCACCAGCGTGTCGAGGGGGCGAGTGAGCGGCCACACTGCGCATCAGCGCGGCATCACCAGGGGCGTGCATCATCTTGGCCACAGGCACGCCGTCGGGAGCTCTGCTCAGCGTGTCGCTCCCCCGGTTCCGGCCCACCACGCTTCGGCGCGACACGCGGACGGCATCCCTGTCTCCAATCGTCAACGTTCCCAGCCTTTCCCAGCCTCCTGCGGCACGCTAAGCCACTTGCAGGGCGCTGCATGTCGCCAGGGATCCGCCGCCGCGACACGCGACAAGCAGGAATTGCTCACCGTAGCCCTGCGGTGGCCGCGGTGGGCTGTACTTCAGCTTTCGAAGCCACTGCCTCCTCCTCCTCCTCCTCCTCCTCCTCCTCCTCCTCCTCCTCCTCCTCCTCCTCCTCCTCCTCCTCCTCCTCCTCCTCCTCCTCCTCCCCCTCCTTGTCTTGGTACCCGGCCGAGGGAAGCATGGGGTTCGACGATGTGGCCCTGAGGGATGGGGCCGTGAAGGAAGGACAGGGCTTCAGGATCTCATTTGCATTGCTTTTGTCCCCCTCCCTTTGCAGCTGGGGCTGTTGGGTCCCATGTCTCAGAGCCCCCTCTCTGAGAGAAGGAGGAGGAGGAGGAGGTGGAGGAGGAGGAGGTGGAGGAGGAGGAGGAGGAGGAGGAGGAGGAGGGAGGAGGAGGAGGAGGAGGAGGAGGAGGAGGCCCAGTGCAAACCCATGACGCATCAACGATATTGCAAAAGGCCCTCCCTCCAAGTCCCCTCTGCAGATGTCCCTACATCATTTGCGGACATTGTGTGAAATGTCCCATTGGAAGACAACCGTCTGAGAACCCCCAATCGCGTCAAAACATCATTTCTTGAATTGCAGCGCCCCGATGCAAATTGATTGTCGCGTCCTGACACCACGCACCAGAACACCATTCCTGGGACTATAACCATGCGAATCAAAGTGACGTCCGCGTCCTGTCGACACATCACCGTGCTAGAACACCAGTTCTGGCAGTCCAACCGTGCGACTCGGTGACACTGCTGCAAAGTCTCAAGACGATTTGGCGCGGTGATCATGCGAGATCCACATATTGATAACGACCCGCCCTCCACCCGTGAAGCTGTTTTAAATTTTTCAGCGGCGCTGCGGCGAGATCCATCCTTGAAGCTGCTGAACATGTCAATACGGCGCCCAGGCGAGAGCCACATTTTTTGTTTTGAAAACGACCCGCCTTCCCCATCCGCGAAACTGTTGGAACAACTCAAACTTCAGGATCGCAACTGGTGAGGGAATCTCTGGCGAAATTCCCAGCCCGCTCTGCAGACACGTCTGGGAGTCTGGCGGGGAGGAGTTGTTCCGAGGAAAAGGGATGGAGGAGAAGGAGGAGGAGCAGGAGGAGCAGGAGGAGAGGGAAGGCGGATAAGGCTGGAGGAGCCAAGTCGTGCGCGCGCTCTTGCCAGTCGGCGGCCGCGCCCGTCTCTCTCGCGGCCTCTCCCGCGGCACGTGCAGGGGCTGGGGCCTCCCATCAAGAGCCGGTCGCAGGACGGTGCCGGGCCCAGCAGCTGCGGCTCTTGCTCACTCAACGCCCGCCGCAGCTCGACGGCGCGCAAGAAGGCAGTCTAAGAAGGCAGCAGGGTTCGTGGTAGAAAAAGCGGGATAGGCACCAACTTTCGGAGCTCCGCTCGGGTTTCTTTGGTCGGCACTGGGGTCCTCTGGCGACGCCTCTGGCGCCGCCCCTGGCGCGCGGAGCGCGCCAGGGAGGGGCGTCGGTGCAGATCCAAGAAATCTGTGCGGACCTCGAGAAGTTGATGTTCAGGTTGTTTGTCCTTCCTCTAGAAAAGCCTTTTCGGATGGTTTCGGCACGTTCCAAGAAGACCCCTTGCCTTCTTCGAAGGCCGCCCTCTTGCCCTAGCACCTTTGCCTTAGGCACTCGATGATCTCAGAGGGTGGTTGGATTTTTTGTAGGGTCTTAGTCCTTTTGAACCTCCTGTAGCCTCCAGAGACTTTTGGTGACTTCTGGGTATCTCCAGGAACTCTGGGTTTCAGGGTCCTGACGGCACCAAGGCGTGCATCATTGTCCGCCCGCCTCCACATCCTCCTTCCACTGGTCATCTCGCTTTCCTTGTGGCGCAAAAATTTGCTTCCTGTCGTGACGCCATCATTCTTACCATCAGTGGCATCCTCGTCACCACCATCTTAATCACCATATCATCATCGTTCCTTTCCTATTCCCTCCTGCGCCATCTCTCTCCTCCACCCTCCCCGAATCCCTTCTCCTTGGGCTCCCTATTCCCCCCCTCCCTTGTCCCGCATCGCTGCTCCTGCTCCCCCTCCTCCACACCTTCATGCTCCTCCCTCCCTCCTTCACCCCTTCACCCTCGCTTCTCCTTGTCCTCCCTCCTCCCTCGTCGTGTTGCGTTGTCCACATCCCCAGGTCGTCCTGCTCCATTATCCTCGTCCTTCCTTCCTTCCACCCTCCCTGAAACTCCTCTTCCCCCCCCAGCCCCTTCCATTTTGGAATCGAACATCGTGTATCCTCCTCCCTCTCCTCATCTGCCTCATCCTCCTCCTCGTCATCCTCGTCATCATCATCATCAGCATCATCATCATCAGCAGCAGCATCATCATAATCATCATCATACTCATCATCATCTTCATCATCATCATCCCTCCTCCACCTCCCTTCCTTTACTCCTCCCCCTCTCCTCCCTCTCCTCATCTATCATTCTCCCCCTCGTCGTCCCTTTTCCTCTCCCTTCTATCCCTCCAGAAGATCCCGACAACGTGTAGGAAACTTCAAGAGACCTCAACATGCCGCCGATGATTTCCGAGGATGCTCAAACATTTTCCTGTTCCTCCCACTTGTTGTTTGTATGTTCCTTCTCCGTCTCCTCTTCTGCAGGAAGACCCGACCCCCTCCTCCACCCTCCACCCCCATCGAGACTCAGCGCGCGCGGGAGCGGGCGCGCGCGCGGGCGAGGAGGCGGAGGAGGATGAGGAGGAGGAGGAAGAGAATAACGATGGAGCAGAGGCATTCTAAGGGGTGGCGATGGGGAGGCCGAGGAGGATGACAGTAGTAGTAGTAGTAGTAGTAGTAGTAGTAGTAGTAGTAGTAGTAGTAGTAGTAGTAGTAGTAGTAGTAGTAGTAGTAGTAGTAGTAGTAGTAGTAGTAGTAGTAGTAGTAGTAGTAGTAGTAGTAGTAGTAGTAGTAGTAGTAGTAGTAGTAGTAGTAGTAGTAGTAGTAGTAGTAGTAGTAGTAGTAGTAGTAGTAGTAGTAGTAGTAGTAGTAGTAGTAGTAGTAGTAGTAGTAGTAGTAGTAGTAGTAGTAGTAGTAGTAGTAGTAGTAGTTAGTAGTAGTAGTAGTAGTAGTAGTAGTAGTAGTAGTAGTAGTAGTAGTAGTAGTAGTAGTAGTAGTAGTAGTAGTAGTAGTAGTAGTAGTAGTATTTGGAGGAGGAGGAGGAGGAGGAGGGAGGAAATGGAGGAATGGGTGGATTAGGAAACAGAGGTAGAGAGACAGAGAGAGAGAGAGAGACAGCGATACAGCGAGGCAGCGAGATGGACAGGGAGAAAGCGATATCGAGAGAGAGAGAGAGGAAGAGAGAGAGAGAGACGGAGTATGAAAGAGAGGGAGAACAGAGAGACAGACAGACAGACAGAAAGACAGACAGACAGACAGACAGACAGACAGACTGCCGGAGCGACGGAGAGAGAGAGAGAGAGAGAGGGAGAGGGGAGGGGCCGCAGGAGGTGGACGGCGGCGGCGGCGACGGCGACGGCCCGCCGCTGAGCTCTGCACCCCGGGTCGCGGCGGCGGCCGAGGCCTGGGGGCCCTGGCTGACGTCCTGGCGCAGATGGAGGGCGTCGGGGGCCACTCCCGTACCAGGCGGGGGCAAGTCGCACGCGGGTCGGGGCATGCACCCGTCTCTGGGCGCCCTTCGGCCTCCACCCATCCCTGGGGGTAGCCACCAGCACTTCCACACTCGGCCCGTGCCACAAGGATGCGCGATGAGGGTGCAAGGGCCTGGGACGCCCACTTCGAAGCTTGTCGAGCGGGTTGCGGCTAGCGAAAGCGGCCAAGGATAGGCCGAGGAGGAACGGATGCAGGTGCACCCTTGGGAGAGTCGCTCATCCCTGCTGTGCGGGTCGACCGTGCTGCATGCGTTGCCTCTGCGTTGTCCTCCGGCCTCGCGCCTCTCCGCTGCGCGCACAGTGGCGACGAGCTCCAGGGGGGCTCGGGCTCGGCGGCAGCGCCGGCAACTCTGCCATGTTCCGGCAGTGGCCCCTGCAGGGTCGTGCGTGCCGGAACTGGAGCGCAGGCTGCGGACGGCTCGCTCGGGGAGGCCAGGTCTCGACGCGCGCGCTCTCGCTGGAGTGAAGAAGCTCGGGGGGCTCAGGCTTGTTCCCTGCGGGGGAAGAGAAGTCGCACGCGGGTCGTGGGGCGTCAAGTGCTGTCGGTAGCAAATCACGGGAGCTTGCAGTACCCTCTTAATTCCATCGTTAGCTTCGATTCGCGTCGATCGGAGTCGGTCAGCGCCTGAGAGCCGATGAGATAGCGCCGATTTAGCGTCGAGTAGCGACGATTTAGCGTCGATGAGAGTCGAAGTAGCGTCGATTAGCGACGATGTAGCGTCGATGAGCGTCGATGTAGCGTCGATTAGCGTCGATTTAGCATCGATTTGCGTCGATTCGCAAGAGCCGACAAGAGGGTATGGGAGGCTCCAATGAGTTGCCATCGAAGGGGGCTCAGGCTTGTTTCTCGCGGGGGAAGAAAAGTCGCACGCGGGCCGGGGGTCGCAAAAGTCGAACGCGGCCGGGCCCGTTGTTTCGTTCCCAGGATCGGCGAGTAGACGGCTCCGTGGCCGAGCGCCAAAACAGAGTGTGCACCTCAGTCTGGTGGGCCTTTGGGAACTGAAGGGCCCCTAACACCTCATCACATAGTCAGATCATCACAGCGCTAGGGGCGTTGGTTAGGGAATGTGCCCAGGAGGCTTTAGGCCCCGGCTGCTCCATCTTATCTAATCAGGGCGGCAGTGACATCTACGGTCGAACTTCCGTTGGTGCTCTATCAGTTTCCAGACTCAGAATTATTTATCGACGGTAATCTAATAGTTTCTCATACCAGCATCCCGTAATCATACACACATGCCTTCTCTGGCTCATCTCAACATCATCATATCGTCAACGGACTGTCTTCCAGGCTGGACCGTTACTGGAGCAGCCTCTAGGCTGGACGCTGGCATTGCGCACGAAATTGATGCGCAGTCTGCGAGCTGTGCAACCTCCCATCCTTACTCTTCTACAACAGTCTGTGTCTGGATACGGGTCCGTCGCCGAGTAGGATGATTTGGAGTAGTAGGGACAGGAGCACCAGGATGATTAACAGAAGTAGGGGGAGCCGGTCGGATGATGCCCCGAGTGGATCCTATACGTTGTTGAGTTTGTCTGCGCCGGGATGGTGCAGATTTGTGTCGTTCATGGTTTGGTATTAGATGTTGGAATACTTCTGAACATGATGAACTTGTTCGTCTAGTCTGGTTTTTGTGTTGTCGGATCCTGCTTGTGGGTTCGAGCTGATATTGTTTTTCGGTCGTGCATTCCTTTCGTTGTTGGATTTGGTCGTTCGATGTCTTTGTGGGCCCTTGATTCTGTTGGGGCCGGGAGGTCCCCAGAGGGTCAGACAGGACCTCCCTCTTGGAGTGAGCGTGTCAACATGACACGTGTTGGACCATGCCCAGACCAAGTGTCAGCAAGCGGTTCTGGCTATGTGTCTGCCCTCTCTCTGCCCTCTCCCTGTTTGCAGATGGATTGCAGACGCTGGGCGCCACGACACCACAGCTCGCTACATCCAGTCGCTGGTAGGGCCAAACTCACCCCCTTGCCAGAAGCGCAGCTCTCATAGCTAGTAGCAAAAGTCTTGGGCATTCCTTCTCAGTATCGATGGCCGCAGAACTGTACAGCATACTTCATTGTGCCTGCGATTGGGGCACCCTCGCCAAGACACCACACATGCACACATACATATTCAAATATACATCTGCAGACAAGCATACACATGTTTACATGTCTATTCATATATCCACATACATACATACATACATGCATGCATACATACATACCTACAGACACACATACACACATACATACATACATACATACATACATACATACACACACATATATACATACATACATACATACATACATACATACATACATACATACATACATGCATACATGTATACATTCATACATACACGCTTACATACATACACATACAGTCATACATACACACATACATACATACATGCATGCATACATACATACAGACACATACACACATGTATGCATACATACATACATACATACAAACAAACATACACATGCATACATTTGTAAATAAATACATACATACATACATACATACATACATACACACATACATGCATACACGCATACATGCATACATGCATACATGCATACATGCATACATGCATACGTGCATAAATGCATGCATGCATGCATGCATACATCCATACATACATACAAACATATACACATACACACATGCATACATACATACATACATCCATAAACGCATACATGCATACAAACATACACACATACAAACATACATGAATACGTACCTATATATACATGCATGCCTGCATGCATGCATGCATACATACATACATGCATACATGGGTATGTGATATGTTATGGTTATCTCTATCATGCTTATGTTCGTGATGGTGTTATCTCGCTCCCTCCTTCTCCTTCGCTATCTCTCTCTCTCTCTTTCTCTCTTTCCCACTCTTTCCTCCCACTCATCGGCTACACTCTTGACGAGTGACCCCTCGCCTGCGTGACCATTGCTGCGGGCCCAGGGCGGCGTAGGGGATTTTTGTCGGTCGGATTGCGCCTGGCCTCGACTCGGCGCATGCAGCGTAGGGTTGCGAGCTCATCTGAGCGTGCCCGGGTGGGGGATGCACTTCGCCGTCGGCCACAGCATACACGCAGCGCATCCTACAGCGCATGTTGGGTTCCCGAGGGGCCAGGCGCCCGGTCGACTGGGCAGCCTGCTTTCTTCCCCCGGGACCCGTCCTGAGTAGACCGCCGCCTCCTGCGACCGTGAGGGACGTGAGCGCCGCACGCATCGTCGCACTCACGCCCCTCGACTGGCTTCTGATTTCAGCGCTCGGGCGCCCGCGGGGGGGGGGCCCGAAGAGGCCACAACATCCCGGTCCCGGCCAGACATCATCGCGAGGCGGTCCAGCAGCAGTGGCAGGTCTCACCGCGGCGGCGCCCGGCAGCGTCTGCTCTCGTGGCGCCCTCCGGATCAAGTCGACGGATTCCCGCAGCGGTCCGCTGGCGCCGGGGGCCCTGCGAGGCGCGTCCTTCCGATCGCTGACGCAACGCGACAGCAGCGGCTTGCGTGCCTGAGTTTGGCCCCCCCCCCCCAAACCGTCCACCCTAGCGCCGCGCCCCCCACCCCACACGGGCCACCCTAGCGCCGCGCACCAAAGGCATGGTTGTTCGTAAGTGTAGCCGGCCCCCTCCCTAGGAGGAGGAGGAGGAGGAGGAGGAGGAGGAGGAGGAGGAGGAGGAGGAGGTCCCTCCTGCCCTGTAAATCATCTCCTCGTTTGGTTTCCCCTCTCTCTCCCCCTAAGTTTTGTCCCTCTCCAGGGCCTCCCCTGTCGAGGGATGCACGCCGCGGATCACGGACAGCGCGCGTGGCAGGGTGAGGTAGTTCGCCGAGCTCGATGCTCGCGAGTGGCTCCTGGCCGCGACCTTCTGTACACGGCCTACAAGGAAATTGTCTTGCGAATGAATGTTGGTGATTGCCACGACAGGGGGAAGGAAGCGGAATACGATGAGGGTAAAGGAGGGGGTGATGAAGGGGAGGTGGAGAGGGCGACGGAGTGGACGATGAGGGAGGTTGGGACGGCTGCTCGGCGGGGTTGACGTGACAGTGGTATGACGCTGGGCAGGCCTGCTTGGATGAGGGGACGCCTTGGAAGAGTATTCGATCGGGGGGAGGGGGGGGGAATGACCTCGGACTCCTCCTCCTCCTCCTCCTCCTCCTCTTCCTCCTCCTCCTTCTTCTCTTTCCTTTTCCTCCTCACCCCGCGTCCCCCGCTCCTCCCCTCTCCCTCCCTCTCCCCCTCCCCCTCCTCTGTCTCGTCCTCCTCCTCCTCTGATGATGATGATGATGATGGTGATGATGATGATGATGATGATGTTGTGATTCATGTGATGATGATGGTGATGATGATGATGCTGATGATGATGGTGATGGTGGTTATGACAATGATGCTGATAATGATGATAATGATGATGATGATGATGATGATGCTGATGATGATGATGACGCTGATGATGATGACGCTGATGATGATGATGATGATGATGATGATGATGATGATGATGATGATGATGATGATGATGATCATGATGATGATGATGATGATGATGATGATGATCGTGATGATGATGTTGATGAGAAGCAAAATGCCACGACGTCGCGATCGTGATGTAGACGTGAATTGATTTGATGATGTTGTTGATTATTCGCCGTCGCCCTTGCAATCGCCCTCTCCATCGGTGTTCGCTGGCCTTTGTGCGTATCAGTATGGTTTGATGCTCTGAGTTCCTGGCCTGGGCACTGGCCTAAAGCTTGTCTGGGCGACCGCGAGGCTCTTGTGAGCCAGCTAGTGTGGAAGATTCATTTCGGGACCGTGCAGGGTGAGGCAGCAGCGGCAGAGCATGATGAGCATAGATACAACATCCGAAATCCAAGACAATTCTGGAGCGTTGCGTTTGCGTCGACTTCGAACGATTATACCGCGACACAGACATACCTGCGTTGCAAGATCGAGTATTCGAAGGGCGGCTGCTCCGAGGAGGGGGCACTCGGTCCCTGGTGTCTCCACCTTCGGGACTCCTGAACACTTGGGGCGCTCCAGAGAGGCCCTC